GAATTGGGGGATAAATCAAGGGTGTTTCTTTCCACCCGGGAATGAACATTAAATCTCGGCCCCCGACTGGTCGCGTAAAGCCCGACCAGGCCTTCATCATGGAGATCCCCATCTTGGGATGGCGTGATCCATACATGCACCGCATACACGGGTATCACAGCCGACAGCAACCTGGAAGCCCACACGGGGCCGTGACGAAGATGAAAGCAACCATCACACAGAGTTTCAGAAGTCTACCCGAAAATTGCGCTGCAGCAGCCGTTGATATCGGATACTTGCTGCGTCAGCTACCTTCGGGACAAAAGGTGAGGGATAGCAGGCGTTGGGGGGTGGCGATTTGTCCAGCATTGGTACGCGAAGGATGAACTGGTTCTCAATAACGGGCGACTTGAGGCGTTCCCATGGGATGTCAAGGTAGTGAATGATATGCCGAGTCATTGACGGGGTGGGAGTCACGCCAATGGGCAGAAACATGACGTGTTGTACTGGCGATATTTTGGTTCTGTTATTTGTTTTGGCTTCCTTAGAGTGATCGCAATGTCGTTGATTGTATTTTCCGTGGTTTGATATAGATTTTCATTGGCAGGTCGTATCAACCCATTCTGTCCCATTGTTTCCGAATCACATGTATTCGAATAAACATTACTTTGACTAGTGTTTATCAAGAACATATTGAGATATGGCATTGAGCCATTCAATGGATGCAGATTCCTCGGCCGGTTTTTTCTCTCTTTTTTTTTGTGCCACTTGGCCATCTCATCTCTCGGCTAAAGGGTACATACCATTGGACCGAACTCTAAATTCGTGGCAATGCACGGTACCATGAAGACCTGAACCAAGGACACCAGGTGGAATTTTCCCGAGCTGCACAGCTGCGAATAATATGGACAGCCTATTTTGTCCTCTTGATTTTCTGAAGCGACTGGGGAATGGAATGCCAAGAAACAAACAAAATAAAAACCAAAATAAAAACAACAAAAAACAAAACAAGAGTCAAAAGGCTCACTATACCAAGTATCCTTTGTTCAGGCGGCCTTAGTTAATTATTGGATAATGGTTGCACAGTAGAGAATGCAAAACTAACAACAGTAATGCCATAATTGAAAATTCAAGTAGAAATGCAACAAGAAAAAAAAACCCCTCGGCCACCCCCAAAAAAATTAAAAATAAAATAAATAAAAAAGGCAAGAAGGAAAAGAATTAAATGAACCAACCAGCTATGAACAAAAACCAGAAACACCATGAAAAACCATGCAAATCAACGTCAAAAATAACAGTCTGGTGGTTCGTGTTTTGTCAGTTCCGCCTTTTTTTCACTTTTTGACAGTCTTGATCTCATCAAGTCTTAGACCAATCTGTCCAGAATTGGGCCGCATTCTATTACAACAGAAGGGCGATAATGCTTGCGAGGATCACGCCGAGAGCGACTGCACCGACTCGGCTAGCGCCACTTGAATTCTGACCACCTGGGAGTTGTAAAGTGAATGGAGGCGGGAAAGCCTGGGAACCATTGGGATTCAACATGAAATTGCCACAGTTGATTCGTGTGCCGTTGTATAGGTGGACAACAATGGAACGATTGCCGACAAAGGAGGTCGAGTTAGGATTTGTTGACAGGTAAGGGTCAAAGAAATCGCTTCTCCAAAAAGTGCCGTTTCTCACACCACCGATGTCGCCATACTTCCCCGACAAATCACCACTTTGGCAGGTCGGCAGGTTTGTTCGTTCACAGGGCGGCGAATCAAGGCGCAAAGTGGGAGAAAGATGGCCCCCAGTCGAGAGGCAATTCCCACTCGAGTTCACAGGTGACATATGGACGTGCCAGGCTATTGTGCGATTCTTGCATTAGAAAATCATAAAAGACCCATTTTCATCAAGTGGTTAGTTCAGGTTGGTACTAACGGAAGGGACCGTATTCGGTCTCATTTGGGAAGCCCCAGAACACAGCAGTGATGAGCACGCCAATTCCAAAGGGTCCAGAAGTAATGCTGACATTTCCGCGAAGATCGGTGTCGGTTCTGTTCTGCAGATGTGCGGTGTAAGTTACGTTAGGTGGGTTGTCAGTACTTTTCAGGTTAACGGGGAATCGCGAGTCCTGGGCCATGCTGAGGCCAACACTCAGTGCCGAGCAGGCCAGGAGAGTCGAAAGTCGCATTATGAGATCGGGGTGGGATTGGCTGTATAAATGCAATATCAGTATTAGAACATCCTCAATAAACAGCCATTTACGACTTACGTATCGGTAAGGTAGGTGGGGGGTGAAATGGGTGAAATAAATGCCTGGGGTACAACAGCGCAGCAGAGAAGATATGCAATTATTGTGGATATATGAGATAGACAGGAACTAGCGAGAAGAGCGGAAGAATATACCAATGCGGGGAGTGTATCAGGTCGCAGGGAGTTTGGCCCTTTATGAAGACCACAGGCGGCGGATGCTTCTGAAGATTAGCTTTGGATCAGTAAATAAACTCAGGGTGTCGCCCCCCGAGTTACCTACGTACCTATTGGGATGATTGTTTTCGGGTTTTGTTGTTGCTGAACCATACACAGCCTTGTTGGGTTAGCAAAGATATTCCCCCCTCTCCCACCCCAAAGTTCAGTCCAGTCTGCATGTTCATACTACTTTCTTTTTGTTGTTGATCTGCAACAGCAATCACACCAACCACACCCCCAAGCCCCTTGGAGAATTGCTGATAAAGTGCTGATTATTGATTGTTGTTCCATTCTAACCCACCAGGGTCAAAGAACCCCCAGGCCATAAACGGGCGCCTTTGCTCCGCAGATTCCACAGCATCGACAGAAACTCTCGAGAAGGCTCAGCCAATAGTACCCAAACACCCCACATGTTGCCAAAAATAAGCCGCATTTTAGCTTTTCCCTGTGGCTAAGACCTCTAAGGTTCTTTCTCAGCGGTTTTAACTTTGGGCTCACGGCAAATCAACCTGGAATGAACTAATTGGTGCATAGGGCTTTTCCTGACCCTGGCAAGTTGGGGGGAGGAAGGACAACCTTAATTGTGCTCGAATTCCATCGGATAGTCTCCATCGGAAGCGAGCGGCGAGAAGGAAGATTGTCCACGTGAACCTGCTCACGATACGGAGTACAACAAAGCTCATCCAATTACCTACAGATCAGTCGGTAGATTTGTTCTGAGGAGCAAAGCAATTTTTACCTCCGGGCGTCGGCTGTCGACCGATCGAGTCTGTCCAATAATTGACTGGTGTAATAATTGACCCGGATCAGTCAAAGTCCCGGGAGCAGATCAATCATTACACCGAAGATATTTATTTTCATATACAGACAATTACATGTGTCTCTGAGGATATCTCTATTGTAGCCTGGAGACAAAAGTTTGTTTACCCGCAAAACTTCAACCTTGGATGAAGCCTGAA